GCTTTACTTCACACATATTAGATGAAGAATTGCATTGGGATTGCCATTTAAACAAGCCAGAGAAATTAACACAGAAGAGAGAGAAGAACAAAAGAAAATTAACCATCATTGGCTATTTGTGATCTAACTTTGAGCATCAATTTCTTAAGACGATAAATTTCTTGAACACTGAAAGTAAACTGATCAGACAGATCAGTATTTTTCATAAACAGCTTGACTGAAGAATCGAGAAACATCTTTAAATCCGGGAAAAAATCATCAACTCTAACTGATCTCATGCCTTTAGTGTCCTGTAAGAATGAACAGAGTCTAGTGAAAGGGTAAACGCTCTCCGCTTCCACCTGTGTGTCAGCACTAAACTCACATACACTCTCCTGCGTGTCCATCGAACTCTCTTCAGACTGCGAGCCGTTCACTAAAGTCAACTTTGATACTTTACTAGCCTGATCTGCGTTCATCGTGTTATCTAGCTATTTTCTTTTGATAGACTGTTTAGCAAGATCGCTATCACACACAACATTCTCCTCATCAAGCAGCGCTGATTCAGCTATTCTAGTAACAATATGAACCGTATTAGCGCCTACCTTTGGGTCTCTTTGAACTTCCAACTCTCTTTGCTTGCTCGTTAATTCCTCCATAACTTCCTTCTCGGGATTACTATCGTCGCTTTCCTCTCTTGCAGTTCGTGTATTTCCCTTTGTTGTAACTGAAGCGGCAACTCCGCTTGTACTCGGCTGTTCCACCTAACGTAACCTCTCTGGGCACGACCGGATCAGATGGCCTACAGTTCCGCACCCGAAGCACATCATCATCTCTGATGTTACATGTACTGTGTAATCATAACCATCAATCTTAAACTTACACCAAGTTCAGTTCCTCATCATTGCTTTTAAGCACCATGAGTACCTGCCTCCTAAAAGACATAACATGTTTTAAGTGAGGGGATTTACAGCTCATGGGGATCAATTTAATCGGAGATACTAGCTGACCATGTCTCTGTAACTCTTTAGCCAAAACTTCATTTTCGAGAAAAGGAGGAACATTAGAGATGATGATCTTTTTAGCAGGATTCACTAAAGAAAGAACAGGTGTGAAAGTACCTTGAATTACAACTCCATTCTCAATTAACTGATTTGCTTTGTCTATGTTATCCAAAAATATCACAACAGCGCTGTTCATCCGCAAGGCGGATTTGATGCTTCCATAACCGACCTCTTCTCCGACCGCTAAACTGCAATCCTCTACCGAACAACCGGCCGGCGGAGACAGCTTAATAGCGTGCCGGTACGTGAGCTTAAACAAACCGAGCTGATCGCCCACAGCCATGCTGCAGCCGCCGCTCTACAAACAACTCACAATAACCTACACTAAAGATCAAACAAATACAAAAACAAAACAAAAAAAGAGAAAAGTTTAGAAAACTCACTCACAATACCACGCGCCCTCCAACGCACTCACCACGCTCAGTCTCACCATTCACTCAGAGAGAGAGAGAGTGGTTATACATCTAAATTGTAAGAATTTAAATTTTAAGTAAAAGTGAAGTTAACATGCAAACCATTTTCCATGTATCCTTCTTCTTTCCGTTTATTGACCAATTTTCACACATTACTCCACGTGTCTTTGAGAAATGGGTTTCTTTTTTTAAATGAAACAGGTTTACAGTGAGAGGGTAGCTAAATTTTGGTTGCTACAGATACATTTAGACAACGTGCCACAGACCTCGTTCTGATTTTGGAGACGATTTAAAAATCAAAAGTACAAAATATTTCCCGGTAATTGCATACCTCTACATGTTCTGGATTGCTGTTGTCCTTTCTTTGATGTAAATGAAGGCCACCGCCATCTTTGATTTGAACATTGCGATAAGAAAAACGCATCACGAATCAAGGCTTGTGTTTATAACAAAAGTTTATCATTAATAAGTTAATCAAGATATTACCTGCCAGTGGAGACGAAAACGCAGAACTTAATCCCACGCTGGCACAAAAATTAAGGTAGTTGCTCCTATGGGAAAGCGTGACTGGATCTAAACAGAGTTATTGCCACCACAAATTGGCTAAAACAAGCAACGTACACAAGGTCTCCGTAGGACCTGATTTGCTCACATCACAGTAAGATTAGGAGTGAGGTTAGGCCGTCCTTTTCATTGCACGATTTAAAAACACCCCACGCAGACAAATATAGAAACGGCCACATTTATAATTTTGTATGACGTAACAAGTTGAAGCTGGCAAAGGACCAGCAAAAGGACCAGCATAAACCAGCAAAGGACCAGCTTAAACCAGCATCCAAGCGTCAAAACATACCTAACCAGGAAGACAGTTTAGGGATACGTTAGTCATCGGATCTTACACAGACATGAAGCAAATGCTCAATATCCATGTTGTTTCCTAGACTATAAACTTAAGTTCACAAAATATAATGCTCTCAAAGCTCATGTTTATCGCCATCACAAAAGACAACAAACTCATTTGGATGATTCAACGGGCACATTTGTTTGCAACAGTTCAAACTGTCAGCAGAACTGCCCAGACATAAACAAAGTCCTTTCTCATCTCAGGTCACATTTAGCAAAGGGAGAGGTGGTATGATGTCCTTTTAAAAAATGTGACAAAATATTCCGTTTGAGATCAAGCTTTACTGCCCATATTTCACGAAAGCACAGGACTTCAGCATTTGCGAAATTAAAAATAACTTTATCTGAACAACCTTCTTCCTCAGCATGTTTTGATGTAACTGAGGATGGAGGTGATGAAAATGAATTCCCAGATTCGCTGACTAAATTTAACACACAGTCATTGTACATGAAAAATATTTGCCTGTTTTATATGCAGCTGCAAGCCAAATACCTGGTGCCATCGTCAACCATTCAGATGATTGTAGAGGAATTCAGTAGTTTAAATGATATCTGTCATCAGTACACAAAGAAAACTTTCATAGACATACTTAGGTCAAAAACAACCCTTTCACAGTGTGATATTGATTCTGTTGTGCAGGCTTCGCAGGGCCATGATTTGCATTCAGTGTGTAATGCGTTACTTTCCACAAAATACCAAAAGAAGGCAGTATAACCAAAAAAACTTTCCCTACGTGCATCCACAGAGTATGCATCTTGGTCGTGATGAGAACAGAAAACTACGTCATGCACCATGTTCAAAGACCAAGTGGTTTGGGAGCAGTGTGCCAAGCCTAATCATGTACACTCTTTTGATGTGTTCTGTGATGGATCAGTGTTTAAGTCCAATGACTTGTTTAGAGAGTTGAGAATCCAGCTTGTACCAGGATGCCTTTGAGATTGTGAACCCCTTGGGTCAGCTAAAAAGACCCAGAAAATAGTTGGAGTGTATTTTACACTTGGCAACTTTGAACCATTTTACAGGTCATGCATTGACAACATTCAATTATTACTTTTGTGTTAGGAGAGAGATTTGAATTATTTTGGTCATACCAAGATTTTTTCTAAATTGTTGGCAGATGTCAAAGAACTTGAAGAGCATGGAATTGTTACATCTTCAGGTTACGTGACAAACTGAAACCGAAGCATCATTGCATGCTACATGATCCTTCACACATTCTGAGACTAAATAATAATAATAATTTGTTACATTTATATAGCACTTTTCTAGGAACTCAAAGTGCTTTACATGAAAGGGGTTGGAATCTCCTCAACCACCACCAGTGTGCAGCATCCGCCTGGATGATGCGACGGCAGCCATATTGCACCAGAACACCCACCACACACTAGCTTATTGGTGGAGAGGAGACAGAGGCTGCGTTCGAATACTCAATGAGTAGGTACTTAATTTCAAGAAGTAATTACTTATCGAGAGCTAAAATAGTACATACTCTACAGCCAAATCTCATTAAGTATGAATCCGGACTTCTTTCGCCATGTTGATGTTATCATGTGAGCTATGACGTTATAACAAGCGCAACAACTTAAAGGATATGAGCGACAAGTTTACTTCATCTATCTCTAAATATATTTGCTCATTTTGGGATCTTGTTGAAGAAACAGCTGCCCTTTTATTGTGGTTGTAGTATAACCAACAATAAATTTGGGGTTGATTTAAGTTTTTTATTTTTTAACTCTACTAATATGACCCTCAGTTTTATCCTTAAATATATTATATTTTATTATGAAAACCCCAAATTGTTGTCTTTTGAATATGTTAATTTCTTTATTTTATGTGCAAATATTTTAATCTACAAGCAAAACTGGCTTAAATCTCCTTTGTTTTCCTCTTTTTCTTGTTGAATTTAACTCTCTTTGTTTCATCCCTCAGGTTTATAAATAGCAACAACAACAAATGCAATTTCTTTTAGTATGATTATTCAAAGATATTTACCCTTGTACTTGTGCCTTTTTTTCTGTGTATATGTTCTCATACTATGATGTATGCAAACCCATTATAGTTATGTTTTCTATTATAATTGTTCATTGTTAAAAATACAACCATCTTTCCCTGAGCTTATATGTAATTATAAATTCTGCAGTAATAATAAAAAAGAAGATAAGAGGGACAGGTGCACTAACACCTCATAGCATCAGTAACTACACAACCCTACCTAGTACAGTTTTCCTCAACGTTTGCAGTGTTAGCAATGTCTGCACAAAGGAGACATTGGCAAGCTGCTTGGAAGATCATGCCTTTGGAGAAGATATTATACTCAAAAAATGTAAACATTACTACTAAATGTTTAAAAATAAGATTACCCCAGAATGCATTGCTAGCCCACCCCAACACTTACAATAATAATGATAAATGTTGACCAATAATTAATTAATTGTACATATAATTTTAATAAAACAAGCAAAATTTAATTTGTTTTGTCATAGAAACGACTAAAACACATCTCTTCCATCTTTATTTACACCTCTAACTCTAGCACTTTCTATTCTATTTTAATTCTACTTTATCTATTTATCTTTTTTATTAAAAAAAAACTAACACTGGCTTTCTATTTTTTCTATTCTATCTATTTGTGTTTCTTTTGAGTGTGTGTGTGTATGTGTATATATATATATATACAGTGGTGTGAAAAACTGTTGGCCCCCTTCCTGATTTCTTATTTTTTTGCATGTGTTTGTCACACTTTAATGTTTCAGATCATCAAACAAATTTAAATATTAGTCAAAGATAACACAAGTAAATACAACATGCAGTTTTTAAATGAAGGTTTTTATTATTAAGGGAAAACAAAATCCAAAACTACATGGCCCTGTGTGAAGAAGTGTTTGCCCCCCTGTTATAACTGAGATTTATCACACCTGAGTTCAATTTTTCTAGCCACACCCAGGCCTGACTACTGCCACACCTGTTCGCAATGAAGAAATCTCTTAAATAGGACCTGCCTGAGAACGTGAAGTAGATGGTTGAGAGATTCAGCTGCAGCACCAGCTAACGCTGTGGAACTCAAGAAACAAACCGAACAACTGCGTCGGCAGAAGGGAAAAGTTCTGACAGGCAGAGCAGAGAACAAACAGTTTGCTGTTGTGCAATCATGGATGAAGATTCTGAAGAATCGATAATGGAGGACAGGTCAGGATTTACGGAGGTATACTCAAGAAAGAAAAACTCAAAACGTAAGAACCAGGAAGATAGTGGGAATATGGTGGTAACTACACAAGATACAATAAAAAAAGCAAATCAGGAAAATCCAAGAGAACAAATTGTACAAAATACTGAGGAGAATGGTTTCAAAGTTATGTTGACATTTGAAAAGAGTTCAGGAAAGCATTTGCATCCAATAGGACTATCCTAAGCGATCGATAAAATCATTGGAACAGTTGTTTTGGCTAAATGTTTAGGACAAGGGAGAGTTCTGATAATAGTGAAAGATGTTGGACAAAAAAACAAACTACAAAAGATGAAAGAAATGAATGGGGAAAAGATTACATCCAAAGAGATTGGAGTAGCTAAGGTTGAAAAGGGGGTAATATATGGAATTCCAACATGTATAACCACTGGTGAAATTCATGAAAATATAAAAGGAGGGAAAATTGTTAATGTGAGAAGACTGTATAAAAACAAGGAAGGACAACGACAGGAAAGTATGAATATCTTGCTGACATTTGAAGGGAAAATGCCTGAAAAGGTACAAATATATATTAGCATGGGGGTGGAAACATCATGCTTTGGGGCTGTTTTTCTGCAAAGGGACCAGGACGACTGATCCGTGTAAACGAAAGAATGAATGGGGCCATGTATCGTGAGATTTTGAGTGAAAACCTCCTTCCATCAGCAAGGGCATTGAAGATGAAGCGTGGCTGGGTCTTTCAGCATGACAATGATCCCAAACACACCGCCTGGGCAACGAAGGAGTGGCTTCGTAAGAAGCATTTCAAGGCTCTGGAGTGGCCTAGCCAGTCTCCAGATCTCAACCTCATAGAAAATCTTTGGAGGGAGTTGAAAATCCGGGTTCGCCAGCGACAGCCCCAAAACATTACTGCTCTAGAGGAGATCTGCATGGAGGAATGGGCCAAAATACCAGCAACAGTGTGTGAAAACCTTGTGAAGACTTACAGAAAACGTTTGACCTCTGTCATTGCCAACAAAGGGTATATAACAAAGTATTGAGATGAAATTTTGCAAATAAATTCTTTAAAAATCCTACAATGTGATTTTCTGGATTTTTTTCCTCATTTTGTCTCTCATAGTTGAGGTATACCTATGATGAAAATTACAGGCCTCTCTCATCTTTTTAAGTGGGAGAACTTGCACAATTGTGTGGCTGACTAAATACTTTTTTCCCCCACTGTAAGTTATATAATGATAAAGCATCTGTCAAATAGTGTATTAATGATACTTAAGTTATATAATAAAATATGGGTAGAAGGAATACTTCCAAAGATATGGAAGCGAGCTGTAGTAATTCCTATTGTAAAAGTTCAACAAACCCAGGAAGTTATCGACCAATTGCTTTAACTTCAAACTTATGTAAATTAATGGAAAAGATCATAGTTCACAGATTATCTTATGAGTTAGAAAAGAAAGGTAAATTATGTAAATATCAGTGTGGATTTAGAGGTAAAAGATCAACTATGGATGCATTAATAAATGTCAGTAATGAAATAGAGAAGGCAATAAAAATGAAAGAAATTATGGCAGTAGTATATTTTGATATAGAAACAGCGTACGAAACAATATGGAGAGAAGGGTTGTTAATTAAAGCATCAAGGATAGGAATAGATGGTAAAATGTATAATTGGTTATCATTTATTGTACAAGTAGGAGCGTGTCAGTCATCAGTTTTTAAGGCAGAAAATGGTATTCCAAAAGGGAGTGTAATAAGTCCAATTCTTTTTAACATTATGATTAATGATATTTTTGACAATTTAGGATATGGTGTGGGATGTGCGTTATATGCTGATGATGGTGCTATTTGGAAGAGAGGTCGAAATGTATCCCAAGTGATTTCAAGTATGCAAACAGCTATTAAAAAGTTGGAAAAATGGAGTATAGAATGGAGTTTTAAAATGTCAACAAATAAATCATGTTATAAAAATGCAGGAGGATTTTAAATGTGATGAGGGCAATAGCTGGAAAAGAATGGGGTGCTGAAAAAGAATCAACGTTAACAATATATCAAGCTTTGATAAGATCTATAATAGATTACGGATGCATGATTTATGGTTCAGCATCAGAAACATTATTAAGGAGTCTAGATAGAATACAGTATAGAGCTCTTAGAATATGTCGCGGCATGATGTGTTGCTCTTTAAGCATGCTTCACTTTGTCAGACAGTTCGATGCTCCATTCCATTCCGGGCATCGAAAGGTTCTATTTAAGTGATTTCTTGATTCAACAGGTCTGGCAGTAATCAGGCCTGAGTGTGGCTAGTGAAATTTAACTCAGCTTTCTAAAATAATGTGGTTAATTACTGTTCTTTCATGATTTAACAGGAGGGGGCAATTAATTTTTCACGTAGGGCCACGTAGGTTTGGACAGCTTTTTTCCCTTAATAAATGAAATCATCATTTATAAG